CAGGAAGAAAATACAAAAACACAAGTTTTTGTAACCGCTACGATTACCTGTATGTTCACAATGCATTGATAAATTCAGCAAACGTTTCTTTTTCAGTTAACACCATATTAACTGGCCGGTCATTCTCCTTCGATATGGTGATGGGAAAAATGAGAACCTGATAAGTTTCGCCCGACAATTTATATAATTTATTTGTTCGTTATTGTTTTTTTACATGACATATAGTGATGCACTTTAAAATGTGAGGATTGGTTAATTGACGCTAAATATTTGTATAAACAACTCATAACTTCAAGTCTTTTATCAAGCGATTATATACCGGTGCAAACGATATCAATCATCTTCTACGAGATATAGTGGCCATGTTAGTTTATTTGTCAACAACCTATTAAATAACATTTTCATTTTCTAGTAAATTGTTTGCTATTTTGAATAATATACTGAATATATTTTAGCAATTTCCTAAGGTGTTTGAGAAGGTGTAGGCATCTGAGAAAATACCTCGCTATAACCAGCTCATATTTTCTATTGTTCATGCAGAAATTAGTTTCGAATTAATTTTCAAAGGACGCTCTGTGGTTTATAGTAATGTTGATTGAAGGTTCAGTCACAATGTTTATAAACAGTTTATTCTAGCACTCGGATATCACAATAAACTGTTTAGCTCACCCTAAAACAATCGCTTCTCATCACTAAAACATAACTTGGTTTATTAATGAATTTTGTTCAGTATACTGGATGCCAAACCTCTTAAGAAGCTTATCCGGAGAAATTCTAGAGAGCAATTCGTACCATTGTTAACTGCAACAACAAACATAACTTCACATATTAAAAAGAGCAACCACCATAACACCATCGAGAAGTGCATTCTGGTGATTCCCTGAGTCTGATTCTTGATGTAGAATCGCCGACGGATATAGATTTCAATTCATTCAAGAGTGTGCTTTTATATTTACATGGAAAGCTGCGTCATACTAAAGTAAAATTTAGAAAATCCTTCGTTTGCGGTTAATCATAGTGTAGTCAATATATAATATATAATTATGTAAACGCATTAGGTATAAACATAGTGCCCAGAAATATAGAGGGAAAACAAAAATTTGCGCGCTTCTCTGCTTTTTTATCAGTTATAGTTCGATGAATTTAAGGATATTATATACACATATTTAACTATACTTCCGGAAAGCAATGTGACTGCTCTTAAGAAAATGATTACTCAATTACATAAATAAAATATGCCGTTTGTTGCTCTAATTTAAAGTAATTCGCAGGAACACAATACATATCGAATAGTAACGTTTTTGTGGCTACTTCATGTTTATGTTTACCGATGTCCATCAACAGCAACGTGCCTTCGCGGTGGTGCATCACAACACAGACAAAGTAAAAACACACACAAATGAAAGAGTAACCCTATACAGAAAAATACCGGACAAAGTAAAACTTCCAGATATCCTAAAACAGCTCTAACTTCAATAAGAATTTCTTTTTTTAATTTAAAGACATAAACATGTCAACTGAAGTAGGGCTAAGTCGGGAAGTATTTTTCGACTCTCTAAGTTAACGCGATACCGTTTCATTGAGCTATTACCAGCACAACAGATTTCTAAAAAATAAAGAGCGACTGCAACGTTTATTTTGCTAACTTCAGGAAAGAAGGTTCTGTTAACATAAGGCACCTCCTGAACTTGATTTTTTTTTCTAGCAAGCAATAAGAAAAAAAGTACACATTTATTAAAATCATGCTCCAGCACACAAACACGCTGCTCAGCAAACGATCAAAAGCGGTAACATATATTACATTGTGCATTGCAGGGGAAAATCAAACAAGGATTACAGCCTCCATGGCCATCGAGATGCTAACTGTACGGCCTGCCCCGGAGATGCTTTTTACAGGTTTCTACGAACAATGCCGGGCATTTGAAAGGGAAACAAGCATTTTGTATGTTGACATTATGAACGTAATGGCTGAATAAAGCAAAATAACAAGCACGACACTTCTACATCCAAGGATCTCATCTGTTGCCCATGTGTTTGTCTTAATTTATTTAGGTGTTTATTTCATTTGACATGTAACTTTGAAAGGGTAATGTTGCAGGATAGTGATAAGGGTATAAATGTACCGCCGCGGTCAGGATGAGATGAAGCACCTGGTTTGGACTTTTTCTACGTCTACAGGCATCAAACGCTCTATTATCACTCAATTATTTAAGTAGGACAAAGTTTGGAGACTTAACTTTGCATTCCATTCCAAGTTCGGGCCACGGCCCTCTAAAAAAACTAGCAGGTTCACCAAAGCACGAAAGACTCTTAGCTTAGATTGTCCGTTATCACACACAGATACGGATATAAATATACAAAAAGCTCTACATTGAAAGGTGGACGTGGATACGCACGGGAATCTACGACCATTAGTAAAGCTTTGTTATTAAGACAGAGACCATAACATAGAAAATAAGTAAATAACAATTTCGCCTCACAAATATTGAAAAAAAGGTAATTGAGCTCTGAAGCAATATTACTTGCTAGCCAATTTCAGTGTTGAACCGATCTTAGAAAATAGGAGTATTCAAAATCATCAATTCTACAAATGAATTTTCGAATTTCGAGAGCTTGATCCGACCTTTGTGGAATAAAATGTTGCGGATACAAATACCTACATTTGTCCAGTCTTGTTTTGTTTAAATGTATGTTATGTATTCATTTTGCAGTGAGGGCACTTTGCACGAAAATGGCTTGAACTAAATTGCAGCTTTGATGGACCTGTTGCTTTCATCATGCGCATACCTTCCAAACACAAATTTCGCAGCTTTGTCTTGTCCGCTTGCTAATTTATCAATACGCACATTATTTATCGGTATACTTTTTATCAGAAAGAAATATATATATATATGCATGCAAAATAAAGATCTAAAAATTCCAGACATTTTTAAAGATTCGTCGGGCATTTCAGCAATAAAACATATCTGACACTGGGAGGATCGACACCACTTAAGATATATTTTCAAAACTCCTGATTGGCACAACTATTTTTAGGGCGGTGGATGTTTGTCACCTGACCTTAATTCTGCTGGAGAGCTCACATCTTTATTAATTTCATCTTCCGAAAGCGTAAGCCCTTTCTACAACAAAGCACGAGACTGGCCTGTAAAGGATATCAGACGGAAATAGGCATCAAGATAGCTTATATCTAGTTATCGGAGGGATAAATACGCTGGTGAGGATGTTAACAATGGCTCTGCGGCTCTTTCCTTTGCAGCGGGTGAGCTGAAAAATAATGTGTACCATCTTTGGTAAGAGTGGTACGCCATCTACTGTTTGCCTAGGAAACCCTATGACCTGTTCGTTGCGGTATTTCACGCCAGATGGCGCCACTCTCCTAAACCACTGGATACGTGGCTTTCGCGCGCAATGCAAAAGCCGCGTTTGTGTATTCGGGCGACAACTATTGTACCGAACAAAACAATCAGCGAGACTGCAAATAGAAAAAGAAAACGCATTGCGCCATAGTAACTGAGACTTCATACTTCATATTTTCATGACCCTTTTTCTAGCGCTCCACAACACAATTTGTATATGCATATTACCCACCGGGCGTTTTTGCGACGACTTTAGAAAATGTATAAAAATACAACGGCGAAAAAAATATCAAAACTCTTTACGAGTACAAAATTTCAGCCATAGCGGACGTCAGTGATTGTAAAATAAAATTCTGATTAGCTAACACACTTACGAATTCAGCGATTATGGCTAAATACACAGATTGTTTCAATAAGGAACATTAAACTATCAGTGAAATACAATAGATCAGCGAATTCTAGAAATATTATATCAGAAACTGTCTACTTTAGTGTGCAATAGGCATAAAACTTTACTTCTTGGAAACATTTTAACACGCACATTAATTAACAGGACTATATCTGGTTGGAGAAAAGTTATATTAAAAAAAAGAACTCAAACCAACACCCTACAAATATTCAGTCCGACGGTTTAAAACCTGCTTGGTTTCTCGGATAGATTTCTTTTACTATGAAAATGGTAGAAAGTTTCTTTTCATTGCAGCCGTCAGGTGGCTCAATCTATGGACGCACATCGATGGCAAAGCACTCGGGGACCTGCATATGTTTCCCGGCTTCTGCTGAATGTGCCAAGACTCAAAGAAATACTTTCAATCGCGAAGTCGACTGAATGGTCGTGAACGCAGCACTGTTCCGCGACGGCGCTGCTTCCGTGGTCGAGTTTCCGCACGTTGTTCTTGTGCTGTGTGATACGCTGCGAAATGAATTTTCGTCGGACCGATATAAGTAGCGGGCCACTTTGCACATGGGATCTTGTAGGCCACGTCCTCTGCTCTCTCTCTTATCTCTCTCTTGAGAAGCAAACTTTGGGTCGTGGCATGAATCGTCCCAGTGCGGACATAGGGTTGTGGGCTACTTGGGGCACTTTTTTTTCAGCACAGGCGCCAGCACGTTGCTGGTCCCCATTACGTAGGGGACGCTGATGGGCGTGATAGTCCGAGGCTGCGTGTGCTGTGTTATGATAACTCTTTTTCTTGGCACGTGCGACGACCGCAACGTCCGGCTGAACATCTTTTTGGGGTTGGGAGGGGGGGGGGGGGGGGGATTCGTAGTACCTCTTCCTTTTTAAATTCAAATTCTTGGCAAAGTCATGTTTTTAATTTTGGGCGTTGTTTTATCTTTAGATAAAAGAACTCACCAATCTTAACTATATTATTAATTGACAAATAAACAGGTTTATTCATGACTTTTCAATTGTATTGAAATGGAAATAGGCCGGTACTTTATCGCCACCGTGAAAGCAGATTTTCACCAAGCATTTGCTATTTTTTTCATTATTTTTTTCCTGCTCGATATCAGAACGCATGATCTCTGATAATAACTCGTCTAAACAAACTTTGCTTCTTCTGGCACCCCGGTCATCGCTCGGGCGACTGAGCATGCCAACGCATTATACAACGAACTGCAATAGCCGGGAATCCCTGGGAATTCCACGCGGAAATCCCACGGGGGCATGTATCGTCACAGCCGCCCGCAACCCGTTATCAAACGCATTTCCTTTTCCTCTTGTTCATGGCATCCTCCGCGAGTTTGTTTCGTGCTACTCTGTTGTTGGAGCATGGATAACATTCGTTGACATGGACTTTAGTTCTGTGAGAGTCCTGGGAAACGGCAACCGTTTTATCAACCGCTCATCCTTATAAACTGTGGTCTCTGGCTCTAAAGCCAACTACAAATCCTGAGCGAGGCGTGCTTCCATACAGCCATGTGGAGACAAATAGCGCTAGGACTGTCAGTCATGGCTGCGGTTTTGACATGTGCCGGTAAGTTCCCTTTCTTTGACTCTAACTCAAATCTGTTTTGGCTCTCATAACTGCAGAACTTAATGTGCTTTCTGAAACAATTGTTTTTTCAAATTTTTCCCCGTGGAAGTCTGACAGACAGACTTATACCGCACCCATAGCAAATAATTAAATTATTTGCAGTCGATTATACTTTATATAATTTTGTAATCATTTGACTACGTTTATTAGGAAGTAATCACAACGAGGAATCTTAAGCGGAGCGCAAGCTTGTCTGATTCCCTTACAGGGCTTCCGGTGACATCAGAAAGCCGCCAAGCTCCGATTGGCTCCGACAGGAAGGATAGTGGGCAGACCTGAAGGCAGATTGCTTTGAGGTCTGCCCACTATCCTTCGATCAGAGCCAATCAGAGCTCTGCGTTCTGACGTCAACACAGTCCCCGCAAAAGAAGCAGACGAATTTGCGCTCCGCATTGCTTTTATGAAGTACTTAAATCTGTTGTAAAAGTTACTGTTTTTTATCTCCCCTTTCTTTGCTCGTACAAGTTTCCTACCAAGGAATCATCGAACCAAGTCTTCGACACGAGTATTGTTCGGCAAAGTTGATGGGTTAAAGACGATAAGCCGGTCATAAATCGGTGATTCTAATCCAAGAACGGACAGTGCCAAAGGCCCGTTTTCAAACCGGCAGAAAACACAAAAAATCGCAAGTAGTCGGAGCAGTAACGGTTACCTTTTCCCGAGTAACCTCCAAGAGATGTTTTTCTTCAAGTAATGAGAAAATCTAAATCAATACTGTTTAGACATGAGCAATCGGGACTTTAATGTTGACTTTCTTTTATCGTATTGCGTCTTCAAGACTGCACTGAGATTACGGGAAAAATAACTCATTATTGAAAATCTCGTATTAAGTTGCGAAAAGCAGGCACCTTGTAATGCTGATAGAGTCACCGACATCTTAAGAAATGCAAGGGGTGGCTTATTACGCTCACGCTTCTTGCTTCGTGGTTGATTCCACGGCGTTCATACTGGCCAATTTTGACATCTTATTGTCCGTGGAGCGATAGTAAGATGCTCGGACCTCGCCCCTTTTTTCGTTTCTTGAGGTGTCAGCGTTGTTTTTTGTTTTTTTGTTTTCTCATAAAAGCGATGTCTACGGCTAAGAGCGACAAACCTGTTTACTGTCTGCATGTTTTGCATAGAAGTACACGTTACTGAAATGAAGCAACCAAATACCCTTGCTCGTTATTGGCGGGAAAAAAGTAACTAGGTATGTTACCCGTTACTGCAATTCAAAATGAAGGTGTTACCTCACTTTGAAAGTAACGCGTTGTATTCTCATAACTTTAAATGTGTAGTTTCTTTTTTTTATGAAAAAAGTAGCAGCTTCCAATATCTGTCGTCGGTAATAATTCCACGCTTTTTAGTAACGCGTTCATTCGGGGCAAACTGCAGCGATACTGACATACCTAGTGGGCGTCTTTTTTATGGTCAATGTAGCGTTTTCTCGTCAAGCACATTGCAGGCGTGAGCCGGAGTAAGAAATGTTTTGGGGACTTGTGTTGTACACGTTCCCATCCAGAAGTAACTGAATACAGTAGCTCCTTGTTTCATTAAAAAAGATATAAAAATACGTTACTCCTTCCTTCATTTAAAAAGGAACTGGGTCGGTTCTTCTTTACAAAACAAAAGTAATAAGGTACAAGTAAAGCGTTACCTGTAACGCGCTACGTGCAAGTCTCACACGTAGTGATTGTTTGGTAGTGCAATCATTAGCGCAGTACCTCAGCTCCATACACGTGCCATCCAAGACGAATTGCATTTACTGTCTCATCTACTGTGATATGTCTTGCACAGCGTTTCCAAGATCCTGACTCGTGGCAATTGTTTCCTTTACAGCCGCGCAGTGCAGCGGCGTGGAAATAGTTCCGCGACGTGACTGGGGTGCCCGCGCGCCTAAAGGTCGCACGGCTATCAAGAACGCCCGAGTTCCCTACGTGTTCATACACCACACCACGGGATCCGGCTGCAACAGCAAGGTCTCGTGCAGCCGCAGCATCCGTGGACACCAGAACTACCATATGGATAAAAACGGTTAGTAAGAGTTTCTTTATTTTTTTTTGCCATGCTCTTATTTTATGAGTAGTTGCGTAGTCAACCAATGTTATAGTCCCGCCCTCTGGGTGTAGTTCGGAAAGTTACGATTTTAGTGGTTTTCCACTGAGAAAAAGAGAAGTTTTGCGCATTGTTCATGCGCTGCGCAAAGCGGTTCCTACAATATTTTGATGTCTGAGAAAGAAGTGACGCCTTTTGCGTTTGAAACGTGTACATCTTGAAAAGATGACATATACCTGGTCTGAAATAAACATACATATATCTTAATTTTCTACATAAAAAAAGATCAGTAATGCTCCGCGAGAACCCGAATTATTTTTTTTAGTACGGTTCTTGAGGCGAAAACGAGTATAGTTGAACATACCAGAGACTATCAAGAGCTAAACTGCGAGAAATCACTTGGTTTCATTCGATTGTAGTGGCGTATAAAATATATGACGTTTATGAGTAATGCAGAAATTGTGTGTTCTAGTATTTAGCCCGTGCTTATGCAAATAAGTGCAGCTTCGTGTACCGTCACTAAAGCGCTAGTGGATTTCTTATTTACTGACCAGGCGGCCCAACCATGCATGTTTTGACTCAACCTACGGTTCCCTGAACGCATCCTCGAAAATAACAAACAATATGGTTGGCATGGCATTGAATGCGTATCCTACCATTACGTATATTTGCCTTTGAAATGTGTCCTACATTTTGGACAAATTAAAGGGGTGAAGCCTTGGGTGCGATGTTCACACTCCTCAAAAATTGGTTTGTTTTCATTGCAAAAGCAAGATTAATCAACAAAACTTGGGGACGCTCAAGTATCGCCTTTAAGAGGGGAACGCGATAGCGTTATCGTGCCCCGATCGCAAAGCCGTCTCGTATAAACTCGCGCTCGTTCCGAAGCCGTGCAAGCGTGCGTGCGCCGTCTTGTCGGTAGCGTCACGCGTCACGTGACGTTTCATGACGTCACGTGTAATGTCACACAGGGCTGTGAAGTCACTACCCGATGGACCCACTAAATATTGCGGAAAATGTTCCGCTAAATTTGCGGTAAACATTTTCCGCTAAATTTATAAAGAGTTTCCGCTAAACTTTGCAGAAATATTTTTTGCGCTAAATTTGGCGGAAAAATTATCTGCTAAATCTGGCGGGAATGTTTTCCACGAAATTCGCCGGTAAATGTTCCCGCTTAATTTGGCAGGGACATTTTTAACTGAGTTTGGAAAGAAAAGTTTCTCCTAAATTTGGCAAACATTTTCTGTAAAATTTAGCTTAAAATGTTCCGTTAAATTTAGCGGAAAATTTTCCTGCCAAATTTAACGGTCGATAAGCTCATGACAGCACATCCACGTGCGACGTCACTAGTGGCTGCGCTCGTTTATTTGGGATTTTTTGGACCTACTGACGCCGCATCTTTTGCGACATGAGCTCCAAATCGCTATCGCGTTAAAAGTGTCCAGTGTAAGCAAGGCTTTTAAACAAATAAGGGAACAGTAACTGCAGAATCTGGCTTGTTCAATAGCAGCTGGACGGCGTAGTGGGTCAAGTATTAAAAGTAATATTTCCGTAAACATTACAACATTGCATGCGTCCGCAGGTTGGTCTGACATCGGCTACAGTTTTCTGGTTGGTGGAGATGGTCGCGTCTACGAAGGCCGTGGCTGGGGGACCGTTGGGGCTCACACCCGAGGATACAACAGCAACGGCATCGCCATTTCATTTGTAGGAAATTTTATGGCTCAGAATCCAAACCAAGCCATGCTGAATGCGGCTCAGAAGCTTATCGCCTGCGGTATCAAGATGGTAATCTTTTTTTTTCTCTGTTGCTTTTTTGTTGGTTAGCCGATGGGACATGATGTTGGTTATGTCAGTAAATGAAGGAGTTTAGCTCCGTATATAGAACTCTAATTAAGACCACCGGAACAGCTGAAATAGGAACAATTTCTGTTCGAACTTAACAAGAAAAAAAGAAGCATGATCGAATTGTCCTGTTGGGACAAGCCTGGTCCGACCAGCGTTCCCCGAATCATAAAATGTAAATCATATGGTTTATAGTGCTGTTTTTTGTTGTACAAATAATTACGCGATCTATTTATGCTCCCATTGAGAATTTATATATATCGACATATCTGGTATATATATCGAGAGCGGTCTTCCAGTATATATACCAGGTATGTCGTCAAAAAGCGGCACAACCTATACACTTGCCAAAATCGTCTTTGGCAGTGAATGCGGAAATGATATGGCTTCGAAAAAAGTGTGAATACTTGTATTTTGAGTTTTATGTAGCTGTTGAGTAAATGTGTCACAATAGGGTACACTCTAAAAAAACGACGATGAGTTCTCCTTCCTGCAGAGCACAAAGACAGTGCAGCAGTACAATAAGTAATTATCCCAGATATTGACGAAGCCCAGAATCCAATTAGAGCTGACAAATGCGATGTCTTTCGGAACAATCAGCAAGTGAAACGTCCTGCTCACTCTTCCTAGGCATATTGCATTTTTTCTTATAATTGTGTTTTGAGCTTCGTCATTAACTGGTATAGTTCTGCAGTTCGCTGTGATTGGCTTTCTCGGGTTCCGGAGGAAAACGATCTCCCGGACATCCTAGACTGCCTAACATAAATATATGGGGTCTCATTCGCCAATGCTTATAGCCTATTTTTTTTTCTTCCCCTTACAGATGACTGAACGTGTCCAAAATTATTTTCACTACCAGTCATTTGTAATGCGTTACTACCTAAACTTGCTTGATTTCACATGAATTTCGTTAGCTAATGTATGAGGGGCGATTAATAAGTTTTGCCTCCTAGACGAACTTTTTCATTCAGTGATAGAATTAAAAGAGGTTACATTCGAATGAAAGTTTGTAATATCCCCTCCCCTAGAAGCACGTATCTTTTCAATATAGTCCCCACCGGCGGCGATGCACTTCCGCTATCTGTGCACTACTCCCCGCAGGCCGTCCTAGATGATTGAGGGCGACTGTAGACGACACCAACGGCGCAATGCATGGTAACCTCGTCGTAGGACGCAAACCATGTACGCTCCAAATGTTCCTTTAACTTAAAAAAAGCCGAAAGTTTCGTCGTGCGAGATCCAGGCTATAAGGTAAATGAGGCAAGACATTTTGAAACTGCAGCTTCTCCAGCGCGGCGTTGGTCCCGCCAACAGTCGTTCTCAATCGTATACGATGTCATGCGGAGAGTATTGGTAGCTGAAGTGCATCGCCGCCGGTGAGGATTATATTGAAAAGCTATGTCCTCTTTGGAAAGAGGAGATTCCAAACTTTCGTTTGAATGTAACATTTTAAATTTCATCACTGAATAAAAAAAATAAAAACCTTTAGCATAGGAGGCAGATCTTGTTGATCACCCTCGTCTATTGAACCTGAGGTCGATAGCTTTTACAGGTAAAATTTTGATAAACCTTTCTTCTCAGACGCGGAATTTTTCAATACTCAACGAAAAAGGAGAAGTAAAACTGCCAGTTACAGAACTCTGCGCTTACTAAAGAATTTCTCGAAGCTCTTTTACTGTCATTTGTAAGCAATTCTCTACATGTCGTGGTAAAATAACACCTCAAAACAAATTAATATTTTCGTCGCCCTAAACACATTTTACACTTGAGCCCCAGCGTATCATTTAGAAATTTGTAATTTCAAGTCAATTTGGCTTTAAGTGACGGTTGTTTCCCGAACATAGGCAGTGTGTTACACACGCGTTTGTTTAAGTTAATAGAAAGGCGTCTACCGTTACAGAGCTGCGAAATCAATTACCGTTTTAATTAGCGAGAGAAAGCTCAAGTACTTTAGCGTCAAGTCACGTTCAGCTTCTATTAGAAACACACGAACTACCGAGCGAAACGTGCAGATAAGCGAGGGGTCGGGTGCAAAACTTCGAAGGCTACTGGAAAACCAGGTAACCGTCGTGTTTGCCTACAGGGCAAGATCAGCAGCACCCATTCTCTGCACGGCCACAGGGACGCCAACTGCACCGCTTGTCCAGGAAACATGCTCTACAACATCATCAAAAAGTGGGCCAGGTTTGGCGGCAGACTCAAGAAGTTTATCTGCTAACCGACGATGAAGGCGCTGCCGATTTCGCTCGTTTTTCCTGGCCGTATTCAAAATATTAAGCAAATTTTTTCTTAGAATGTTTTGCTTAGGGTTTGATATGTTCCAATCAGTAATAAAGGCACCTTACTTTTTTCTGTGACTCTGTATTGCTATAAGCACGTCAACGCAGAAAATAAAAAAACAAATTTTTTGAGGGTATGTGAGTGACTGGGAATTCATTGATATCTCGCAAAATACCCTGGTTTTTGTGTTGCCTACTTTAAAAGGGTGATATATATATATATATATATATTACATATAATCTCAAGATATTGTATTTGCCTTAATCTTCATTTCTTAGAGCTAGAACGATTTGCGAATTTGGTACAAAGTTGGGCTGTGGTAACTTCGAAAGCTAATTTTGAAAATCAATTGTGAATAGAGGAAAGGTAGTACATTGAAAATAATGTAATGGAAAAAACGAACATGGGTGCACCAAATAAATCTAAAATTGCAAAGAACTCAGCGGTAATAAAAGGAACAGCAATTTAAATTTTACTAATTTTAACAGATACACACATTTTTCCTTTGAGCATTTTCAATGTGATACGATTCGATCTTCACGACAATTCACCTTTTATGTCAAAATATTTCCACAATCCCATAAAAGAAATGCAACATTTTATGCAACAACACAATATGCATCTCATGAAAGCTCAACACAAAGTACCGTATTTTCCGGACTCTGCGTATAGTTCGCTAGAGAGCTAGAGATAAAAAAAGGTGCACAACTCGCACTCGGCACATTGTCCGCACCTGGGGCAAGGTTCTAGTATAAACATATTATCAAACTTTGCACACCTTGAAAATTATTGCTTGATTAAGTCAGAAATGGCCGTGCCTCACACATGAATTTCATTAACATCATCTGTCATGCACAAAAACTGCCAAGTCTCACATAATAAATAGTCTAGTAACAAATCCTACTATAATCCGCACCTGTAAATAGTCCGCGAATTATCGTCCATAAAATATTGTACTCTATAGCGTGTACAAAATTAGTGGTCACCGATTTTGACTGGATCAGTTTTTTTTAATTGATCTAATGTGTTAAATTCGCCGATATACATCAAACCGATGCTGTTGAATGCTCTTTACATTCTGTTTCGTCAGAGGAATGGTGCGTTCATAGTAAGCAGTGTAGGGCCGGCCTTTTTGAATTTGGGAATTGAAGGCAAATCTTTTGAATTATTCATATTGCAATTGTAGTATCCTCTTTCAAAGATGCTAAATTACCTTAATATGGTATGCTTGCTTTTAATTTTAGTAGAACTACGCCTGGGTTTCATAAGAAAAGACTATTTAATCTGATAAGCTGCTCGAAAAGGACGTTAAATGTAGCTAATTGACGAATGAACCACAAAGTGTGCTTTTCTTTACAATAGAGCTTGCTGCGAAGTGTTCTAAGAAATAAACGCGAAAATGGCTCAAGCATAGTCGTTTTCGCATTTCTCTCACCGCATTTACACACTGATTTTATCAAGACATGACAGGGACACGGAACATAACCTTTTTCGTTGGCATATTAATAACCTATCCGTTCTGAAGATATCTTCTGTTTTATGTAGGGTTTATCATAACATACAATGCCTTATGTGGCAGTACCCGCACTGACTCCGTTCTTGTCGCTTATATACTTAGAAAACAAAACAATGATGCAATCGCTTATATGCTAAAACTCCAACAAAATAATGCAATTATTCAGAATTTATTTGAATGCTCATCCATATAATTCGAAGACATAGATTAGCTGGTTTTCTCACGATGCGTAAAAGCCAGCGACTCCCTGTAATCGACATATTACGAAATATCATTCCTAGTAAGGTCAACTCTTCACCAGTGAGCATTTAGGGCTTAAGATTCTAATGAACAAAAACGGTGCGTTTCTGGTTGCGCAAGACCTCCCAGCCTCAATACAATCAAGCCTTAATGGCGTCCACTAATAACTTGTGTTAGACAAGAATTCTAGAAACTATACATACACAGGGCACGCCAGGCGTATAGCGAACTTGTGCAATTAAAGCAAATGAGACAAATCAGAACGGCATTAAAGATTGGCTGTAGAGTGCACTGGTGTTTTTATTTGTTTGGACTGAAAGCGTAAACAAGGTCGTGTGCGGCTTTTACGAATACTTGGTAGATAGCTAATGGCAGGGAAGTACATTAACGTTTCTGCAATGTACTGCCCGTTCATTAATCTTATAAAGCAGTATAGCATTACCAAGTCAACGTCGAATGGGCACTAAACAGCACGTATGTGGTGACAAGAAGCACAACACTAAAGTGTTTATGAGATTAAGTATAAGAAAATAAGAAATTCGGTACCGAAAACATGAATGTTAAAGAAGTGGCATTTATTTACACTGCTTGATGTCTCTGAATTCAAACTTACTTAATAATAATAATAAAAAAAAAGATACATGTAGGGATTTTTATGTTGTATTTGTATAGGGTAACTCATCTATTTTGCGTATATCTAGAAAGATTAAAGGGTTCGAGCCACTGCATTTACTCAAACTGCTCCAACTGTCCCTATACGGTACAGGTCGTGGCGCCATCTCTTGAAAGGTTGTCCAAGCTGCGTATCTCCTTCCTAGCGCACTCTACTCCAGATGGCGAAATGAGCAGCCCCCATACTCGGAGACCAGGTTGCCTATGGGATCAAGTTTCATTCCCGGTTTTTATATACCTCTGGAGAAATGTTTTTAGAGTGTTGGATAACTTTATTTACAAAAAGTTATATTAATATCAGCAATAGTATTCTCATACATATTATACCATGTCATACCATATATATATATATATATATATATATAATGTATGTTTTAGCGAAGACTCGAAAATTTCTCGCCTCAATAAACCAAACGCGAGAATTCAAAAAAAAAAAAAAATATATATATATATATATATATTCTCAATGAATGGAACTTTAAAAGGGGAATAATAAAAATATCATCTGGGTTCCCGCAAGGCCAGCCTTCCGTCTGCAGCAATATTCTAAACTCTAGGACACCCGCACGCTTCAGACGCGTTTTAAGTATCCCTAAAATTCCCTCATTCATGGGATTTTGATGACTCAAAGCAAGTTTCTAATGGGAAACATAGGTTGTTGTTTTCTTTTTCACAAAATAAATCTTTAATGAAAATCTACATAATTATTTATCCGACCCATATGTATTTTGCAATCTCTGACGTCCGCCGCTGTGGCTGGTAATTTGTTCCCGAAAAGAGTTTCTTTTTTTTTTTCCCAATTAGCATATTGGTCGAAATTTCCGTACAATGTGTCGGATATTGGTTGTGAATTTATTTCACACATTAAGACAAGCCTAACTCAATACCAGCTAATCTAATAATACCGCATGTTATAAGATACATTTTACTGAACAACTCGATAGTTTTACTTTTGGCAATACATATTTTGTGACAGGACATGTCCTGTCACAAAATATATATTCCCAAAACTGAAAGTAGCAGCTTGGTCAGAAACACGTATTTTCTAATATGCAATATTTTTATATTAGCGGGAATTGAGTTAGGCTTGTCTTAATGTGTGCAATAAAGAGAAGTAAAGTGTTCACTGGCCAGCCCAACCATGCTTGGTTGAACAGGCCAGTAAACACTTTACTTCTATTTATAACTAGAGTAACAGAAGCAAAGAATTCGATGTGCTCAACTTTCTAAACCACGAATTGAAACCTTGTGCTTCAAAGTAAGTGTCTGCAGCTCAAGGAACGCAGAACGTGGTTTTTGTAGTCACGCGCCTTACTTTTATTTTTATGAATGCTTTTTGGGGATTTCTTTCGGGCGATTCTGCAATCTGAAAATTGGTCGTGGAGCGAATATAAAACTCTCAAGACTCGCCACCCATTGCGTTTCTCATGTTGCCAGGGACTGTAGTAAGCATAATTCCTTGATCTCTACAATTGCTGTGATAAAAAGGTCTCAAGTAGCGCTTCCAAACCGAGTCATATCGGGCGAGCCGCTTAAGGTAGCGCCGCCCCAACTTGAGGCATCTGTTTGTTGAAATGCATTCGTTCGTGCCAATCATCTCTGTCAGCGAGCTGCAATGAGTCATCAGCCGACTCGTCAACTGTCAACTACAGTTGGCACGCCCACCAAGGAACAAACCGCGACGTCTCGGTCGGTTGATTCCTACCGGCCGTCCCACTAATTGGCAGCACCACGCAAGACCGCCATCTGCACATAAACAGAACACAGACGAATATCTAACGCCCTGTCTTTTTCTTTTCTTTTTTTTTTATCTCAGCGTGTTTTCACGCGCCATGATGCAAAGGGAGCCCCTCGACGAATCAACGCCCCGCTCACACCAAGAATGTCGGCTAACTTCGGGGATGAAAGGGAAAGAAGTTTTCGAAAACGCAGGACTTGCTGACAGAGACGTTTGAAATATTTTAAGGCCATCTTATATTCAACTTTGTTAAGGTGTTTTTTTCTGTTAATCAATAAGCCCGTGTTGAAGTCTCTGACAAGCCGGCATTTTTGGTATCGCGGTTTAGCCGAGTTGTCACCGAGTTTGAACGCGTTTGCCTGAAATATATCTGAATATTTTGATTCAAGGTTTCGATTTTTTTTGTTTTCTTCTTCATTTCAAGTTTGGCGCAGCCTCGTCTTCTTAATGCTGACGTTAAACATCGCATGTACGACAGAATTAGAGCGTGGCGTGCAGATTCGACATTCCTAAACGTGAGTGAAAGACCGCGGTTGCTTTCTTTTGGTTTGTTTTGTCGGCGGTTACTTTCCGCTTCCTTGAAAGTGAAGGCTAAGCGTGTCCAACTGACAGCAACGGGCTTAAAGTTTCAAACCCCTACTCTGACGTAAAATCTTGAACAGTCCTGACGTCATCACGCCCGTCCCCAAAGACTGACTGACACGTTTAGCTGTCGCAAAGGTCATTTTATGTGTGTATCTGTAAGCTGCAGTACCCACGTTTTGGCGCAGGACAGTTGCCACGCTACAAAAACAGGAACTAGACTTTTTATAGAGAAAATGAACGTTTTGTGGTGACAGGTTAAATGAGTCACCGACTCCATCCCAGCACCGACTACCGACTTTAGGGCGTTAAAAGTGCGTA